TCAGTAGAAAAATTTCAAGCAAGTGGCCATGAAGGACAGCAACATCTGTTTTGAGCAATGACTGGTCACTTGTTTAAAAACCTCTCACAGATTAAATCATGAAGTACTTAAAAAAAAGGGTCTGAATCACAAACAACACTCGAAAGCTCAGAATTCAAAATAGTTTCCAGAAATGGTGAAAAAAAATAAATCAAAACTAATCAACTGCCTTTCACAGCATCCATTTAAGACACCACCTCATGTCCTGGAGATCAAGTGGAAGCATTTCAATGAGAATATAAAAAAAGTTTACTAAGGTTTTTAAGGGGGGAAAAAAAAAATTATGCATTCTTCGAGATTAAATATTATTTTAAACAGGAATGCTAAGTTCCAAAACCAAATCATATCAAAACACACTGTGAACCAAAAAGACACGTGATGTAGGATATTCACAAGGGCCTGAGGACAAGTCACTGTAATAAAGTCTTAAAAATATTGAATAAAACATAATTCATGCAATACAATTCAGTATTTTCAGACGTGAATCCAACAGTTATGTGAAAGACACCAACCCAGTGCACTAACTAAGGTGTCCTCTTAAAAGAGAAAAGCTCTGTGCATTAAAAGCCACACAAATTAGTCACTGGACAGTCATGTCACTTCATCTTGTGCTTTGTGCCACTTCAAACCATTCCTGACTCCAGTTCTAAAATTCAAGTTGACCAAAGTTAATAAAATGTGTCTGTGGGATGGACATCTGCCCGGCTCACACCACACCCAGGGTGACAGGTTAAGGACAGTGCCTAAATCAGAATATATTCCAACTTCCTGAAAATTTTCCTGGCAAAAGGCATACAGCTGCATTAACAGGCTCTGCTCTCTCTGCAGCAGTTTCAGAGGAGAATCCAGGTCACAGAGAGAGGGGAAATGGCCTCAGACATGAGGAATTCCTCTTTTCCGCCTTTAACACGGTGGAGCAGGTTACCCCCAACTTTCTCGTCTCTCCAAATTCCTCAGTCCAATCCCAACTTTGGATGGTAGGGATACCTCACAATTTCTGGCTGAAGAATGTCGACATCTCTCCTCTGCCACACTCTATCCCAAAGTGGGCATGACAACACTTCTTCCACTTTTGTATGTCCTTAAAAAAATTGCATACGTGCTACATAATATTATTGTGTTAATTAAGTTAAATAAATGGTGTTTGAAGCCAAAAGCCTCTATAAACTTTTCTTCAGGCAAACACTGAAGTATTTCAGACCCAGAATGTGCTGGTGTGATCTGGACCATCAGCACAGTTCCTAGTTTCATCCTCTATAATGATCTGGCCTCTATAATAATCAGTTAGCAGCAGCCTTCATATAAAGCATTTAGAAATACCTCTTCCATTTTCTATTTAATTTCTTCTTGCCTTGTTCTACCCCATTTTCTTCACAGAGCACAGGAGTGGAAAGAGAAAATAGTCCACACAATAAACACTGGATGGAAGACAGGGACCACAATGGTCACTCTTGTGTGACAAAAAAACCCACAGGCTCCATATCTGCACCAGGGCATCCACAGGAATTAGTAAATTGGTCAGATAACACATGAAAAGTTCAGAAGACACATACAACTAGCCGGTGAATAAAGTCTCCTGTCACCTTACTTTAAATGGATCATTTCCCAAACTAAACTGTTATTTGTGAAATACCAACTGTGATGCTGAGAACTCGGGAAAAGGCATTTTAACCACTTTAAAGTAAAGGCAGATGACAAAAGCAAGACCTTCAGGAGGACTCTGCCAAAGAGGTCTGTTCTTTAAACAGTTTAAAGAAAAAAGGCAGTTGGCACTTGCACAATTCCAGGTTAATTCAAACTACGCTTGAAGACTGGATTACTATGAACTACAGCCACCTGAAGAGTACTGTGCAATTCAGACAAGCAGAATTCACATCTTTAACTCCCAGTTACCACAAGTCCACCACATCTCTCAGCTGTGACACACCTCTGATCTATCATTCACTCAGTCCTTATCAGCAGCATATAGCTCCGAAATATCATTCACACTAAGTCACTTTGAATGCTTATAGAGTAAGAGATGGATAACTTCATTGCTTTCTTCAAGATTAGTGTAAATGTTAAAATAACTCTAAGCAGGGAACAGAGATTAATTTCCTTGCATCCTTTCTAGCACTTCCTCTCTAAACATTTCACAGGTTAAGTTTTAAGAAAGGCATAATTGAACAATGAACTCTACACTGAAATATTAAAATTGAGATTCAAGGTTAAGGGAATTTAATCAGTTCCCACTCTAAGAAGGTTCAATCTTGATCAACACTACCCTGATGTAGTACTACATTATTTCCCATAATTTAGAACTCACACCATATGTTAACATGTTCATTACAACTTTGTTCAACCCTTCAATTACATCCTTCTGCAGAGGGTTGTAAGAATTAACCATTACATGGTTACAAGTCATTCCATCAGCCCTAAATTAGTAACACCTGGTTTCCAATAGATTTATGACTGGCAATTGATTAGCTCTGATTGAAGCTCTTCCCATGCTGGGAGCACACACAGGCTCTCTGTGCTAAGAGGCTTCTCTCCTAGGTAAGAAGAGAACTCAGAGGCAAATTTTTCCTTCAGCTAGTGCCATCACTAGCCACTCCTGGTCTTTTCCTTGCCAAAGCTTCATTACTTCCCATGTTTCCACCTCTGCCACATCCAATCAAAAGAAACTATGAAGTTTAAAGTTAAAGTGGAAAGCAGACTGCAAATATTTAATTCTAACCACACAGGTTTTTAGAAACAAAGTCATCAGAAAAATCAGTTGACTATTATCCTTTGATTATGCAATCCTAAAAACAAGAGCATATTCAAGTCATTACATATCCAGAGATTCTTTATACAGTGAAGAAAAGGATGAATGAACTGCAGTTTGGAACAAGTCTTTGATCTTTTTCAAATGGCTTGTCAAAGTTGTCTAACCATTGCTGTATTGCTGTAAGTGAACATTTATACATAAACAAGCGAATTCTAATGGCACAAAGGCGTCTGACATGCAACAGAGCAAAAAAGGTAGTTCTGCAAGATAAAACGTTAGTCAGAAAGTAAATTTGACTTCAGCTCAAGAGCTAACATACTACATTTAATAAAACAAACATGAGATATGTACACAGTGACACTTAATTCCTAATCCTAATATGACTGATAACCTACGCAAAATTTATAAAGTACTTCATAAGGGAAGTCCATTTTATACCCACTTTGTAACTCAGTGAGTCATGGAAAGATGAAGTAACTTTCTCAGGGTCATACAGCATGTTACCAGCTGAAGCAGAAAAAACCCAAACCAGTCAGGGCAACCACCAAATGACACTGCTCAGTTTAGACAGCCCTCCTTCTCCCCCTTATGAAAAATTAATTACAGTGAGACTCTTTTCTGGTGCACTGCTTATGTAAATAAAAAGGCAGCAAGCAGTGAAGTTTTTCCTGCAGGCTAAAGGAGCAAGAGTCCTTCCAAAAAATGTTTCATTTATTTTATTTCCTTCTAAAAACTGTTGCATACAGATTACCTAGGTCTGCAGTACTTCTCAACTTATGAAACCAAAAGTGAACAGAATTAAAATCTAATTTCACAGTCAATTTTAAAAAAAATTAATTTCCAATTTTTCTACACTGATGTAAACACACTTCAAAGATACCAGTTACAATGCCTTTACAGATATTCCTTATCCTCCAATTGCTTTAGCATCCCAAATTGTGTTTATTGGCAAATCAACTTCGCGTCAAAGAAAAACAAATGCAAGACACTTGTTTTCATAAAAAACAATTAAAATTGCTTTTAAAATGTAAATAAGGTCTCTACATAATACTAAAGGCTGTTGAAGAAAATTTCGTCTGAAAACCACAATACTTTTAATAGAAAAATAGCTCCAGAAATATTTTATTGAAGATAAAATATAACAGGAATTGACTTAATGAAACTGCTGTTTTACTGCTTAACCTTGTAAGACTTCACAGAAGAAAAATGGCAATTCAAAATCTCCGTTTCTGTACAAAATATGTTCATCACAATTCCTCAGCTATATGTCCTGTATGAAAAGTATTCTGCACCAAAACCAACCAGGTCTGCCACAGGGCAATCAAAAGTCAAAGCAGGTTTATGAAATCTGCTTCTTTCAAATGCATCTGATCTCTGTCCAGTAATTTACTGTGTGATACTACACAGATGTTCAGACATCTACTTTCCTCCTTCAACACTGCACTCATCATCAGAGGATAATTTTTATGTGTTTCATGTATTTGGGAAGCATAGTATACAGGTCTTTGTTTGAAAATATTTAAGGCAATATTGCAACCTAGGTTTTCTTTTGCTTATTTTGATACTTTTCAAACCATTTCAACTCGAAATCTGGGATAACAAAACTGAAATGATGAGAAAAGTTCTAGAAGCACGGACACTTTCCATTCACAGAGCTAGAAAAAATATGAAGTGAAATTAGCCTAGTGAAGCAGCTAAGTGCCCTGTTCGTTTTCCAAGTTAGAAATGTAAGAGAAAGCAAGGTCATGCAATGCCAGTTCCATTTTTTATTTAAAAAGTGAGGGCATTGAAATGCCTGAAGTAATGATAAAAATGATTGCTGAGTTTTACAATAAATATATATTACTGCTTTTTAAGCTTAGGGATTATTTCAAATAGCCTTTTATTATATCAAATAAAATAAGGATTCTATTCATACAGAAAGAGTCAAGTAATAAAATGAAGCCCATATTCCTTAAGACAAGATGCATTCATGCCTCTCCCACTGGAGAGACTGGTTCAACAATTTTACAGTTAAACAGAATTAATTCTACCCTCAAAAATCCATTGACCTTAAGCTTTTAACAAACATTTTCAACTGCAGAATGTATTGTCAATATTTACAAATCCTTAAAATTATATTTCACTAGAACAGCTTTTATTTGCTATATTAATATTTCCTTGCAAATGTATGCTTATCCATATCAGAGAAGAAGAAACAGCTGCTACTCACAGGAAATCTCTGGGGTCCTACAGCGGGTCTTGGTTGGGCGGGAACTGGCAGCAAGGGCACTGAAACAAGAAGCACCTTTTAACACCATTTGTTTTACCTAACAGTTGTTGTTATTTCCAAAAGCAGTTGCAATAAAAAGACATGATTAAAATCTGCTACTTTTACCCTCACATGTCACAGCTCCTACAATTAACTTTAAGCAGCCATTCCCTCCCCTGCAACATGCAACAGGGCAATTAGGATTCTCCTAGTTAATTTACATAATTTAGTTCTGCATTTTCCAGAACTAAATTGCTCCTTGTTGCAGAAAGAAAAACTAGAATTGTTATTCAGCCAAAGACATCTCTTAGACAAAGCTGACAGAGAGTTCCATGTTTCAAGTAGAAAGATACATGATTAATTTGCCTTCTCTACTTCATGCCACTCAACATTTCCTAGGTATCTCCCAGTCTCACCACAAAGCTACCAAAACAAGCACGGACATGAGACACTAACTGGTATAAATCACTGCTCCTGAGGGTTACAGTAAGGCAGGCAGCTGCAATTAACAGCACACAAAAACTATTTAACCTGGCCTTGCCACCACAGTGCTTTGTATGTAACTGATCACAGAACTGAAGATCTCACATGAAAGACTGTTATTGACAAAAGAGAAGAATTAGGAGACCCTTTTCTGAAAAATAACTCCAAAACTAGTATTTCAGGAGGATTAGCATGGATGACTTGCCCATACAACTGCATTTCAAACACCAGTCACAAAAAAGTATGTCCCAGAACATTCACTTAATGTTATGGCACAACACAAAAAGAGCTACAGCTGAATCACCCTGGGGACTGATCTGTATTTGAATCCCCAGTACAACGACAGATTTCCCATTTTCCAGTGCACTTTTTATTTCCTTTTGAAGTCATCTAAGTGGTTAAAAACACCAATGTTCCCATGTTAAACAAAAAGCCTAGAAAAGTTAAATAAAGCACTTCAGACAGCACCAAATGTGTTTGCTAATTTACTAGAATCTTTCAGTACATTTGTTCTTTCTTCAGTTTGTTTTTAGCACTTCTGAAAAGGACAGGAAAACGTTTTCCACAGTGAAACACTGACTTGTACACAGCTACTGTGTTACACTTTAGAGTAAGAAAGATGCTAAGAAATGCAGCTAATTTGAGGGAGAAGTTGGGTGCATTTCCCAACACAGGAGTTTGCTAATATGCCTCAAAAGTTCATTTTTCCTTGGGAATTGAGGTACAAGAACTAATGCAGTCGAGGTTGTTTTTAATTCATATTCATGTCTGGCTTCTATCCACTTTTGCTAAGTACTTGTGGTTTGATGGGTCAGAGTGATGGGGTAAACTAATTGCAGCCATCTTTCAGCAGGGGAGGACTGTGTGCAAGCTTCATATCACGTTACACGAGAAAATGAGTTGAACGGTTTCATCTTGACTTCTAATGAACATCTGTCCATATCAAACAGCCATGGCCACCTGGAAAAAACTGACAGGTTGCACCTGACAGACCTAGTCCTAAAACAGTTCAGGTATTACAGGTCAGGGAGGCACTGAGAAAAATAGCATACAGTGGGAAACGTAGAGAAATGTCAACTGAACAGAGCACTTGAGCCTATTTCAGTATCCTGCCTCTGGCAGTAGCATATATATAGAGATATATTTATATATTTTAAACAAATTAATTTATTACTTATGAAAGATAGTGGTTCAAACTCTGTGCCCTTTCAACCCTTGGACACTTGCTTCAGCAGCAAAGAAGTCTCAAATAAGGCCTCATTTTCTTGATGTCAAATATTCTATAGGTCTGAAAAGTATGTTTCAAAAATAATACACAGCATGTTGTAAGACACTATTTTAAGAGGATTAAATTGGCTCTTGCTGTATATATGCTATAGCTTCCAGTGCTATACCTGAAACGATGAAGAAGCACTTCCCATATTGATTACTTAGGAGAATTATAATGTGATTTATAATGTGATTTTTCCCAAGACACCAAACAGTTTTCAAAAGGTAAACAGCACGCTGAGCTGCCATAAACTGCTCGATTTTGGCAGTGCCACAGTATCCTTGAAATAGATACTTGTGGTATAAACCTTTAAGGGGAAAAAACACAATAGCTGTTATCACAGGCTGGATCAGTATTTCACAGTCCACCTATGTACAGCCCTCCAGCATTAGTGAATTGATCATACTCAAATCTGGAGATGCATTCAGTAAAAGTTGCTACTTACAACTCAAAAGTAGTTTACAGGATAGGGCACAAAGAAAAGGGAAAACTCGTTATATGACAAGTAAGCAACTAAAAGACACGGGATTCAAATGCCACAGGAGGCACAACTGAGCACTAACTGCACAGTACCTGCAGAAGGTGCTCGCAGAAGCTCATGTTTTAGGGACTTGACAGACTGAGTCCTTAATCATTTATGAAGCTTCAAAGACTAAAAATAGTACAAATTCATTTGAAACAAAACTGACTTGAAAGTAACTATTTTTTTGAACCAAGATTCAAGGCTGGGCAGGGAGATGGTGGCCACAGTAAGAGATACTCCTTTGAAACATCAAAGGAATAAGCCAATGATAGGATTCTTCAAGAGTGCTTCTACTTCCTTTCAGGCTGAAGCAGCTGTCTACTAGAGCTGTTATATATGGTATTTTATTCACATGAAAATTTCATAACAATTTACAGGAGGTTTGAGTCTATTTTAGAACATACTGATATACTCGATGCGCTTCAAGACTAACTCAAACCAAAAAGATGTTGAAAAAGTGTATTTCTATGATCTGCAGCTGGGAAAAGTGTCCCTGGAGCTGACAATTAGAAGTATGTTAGCTTAATCCTGCCATAAAATTAGAGAGGAAAAAATGCCAGTCTACACTAAAACATGACAGCACACCATTAAAATTACCAGAACCTAAATGTGCATATCATGCACTTCCAGACATGGCATTTTTAGCTTCCAGGCATAATGTTCTCAAAAACAGAATCCCAATAAACTTTGCACCTATCTGACTGTATCCTCCAATGTGTAAAAACCTTCATGTATCTGGAAATATGTTCAGTCAAGAACGGGTAGGTCATCATCAAGAACATGAAGTCAATCTGATCTTTCATAGTTCCTGTTACCATGAAATAAATGATGCTGTAAGTGAGACACATCCTTATGTTGTCAACCATCAGTCTCTGCCTACTGGGGCTTCAAGCAGATGGATTAAATGGAGGAACACTTTTTAAGAGGAAATTTAGAATGGCATTCCTACATTGGAATTTCTATCTACCATTTGCCTGCAGTGACTGCTTAAAAGTTCATTTTAATATGCAAATACCATTGAAGATTTCAGAATTATCCTCATCTACCTGTAGAAGGCTCCTAATTTCAAACACACTTTCCTTAGGTGTGCAAATGTATACAAATGTATAACTGTACTGCTGCAGACTAAGAGACTAAGATGACCACTACTCTCAGTCACTGCAGAAGACTCAGCTTCCAATACATGCTCTCTAATCAAGAAGATTAAATTTCTACAATGAAATAAGGATCTGTAAGTGAAGACTGAAAAAGAGACTATGTTCAAGAGACCTGCAACAGCCACGGTACCACAGACATAGTGGGAAGGCTGAGACACGCCTGAAGCTGCCCAGTAATGTAAAAAAAATCTCAGATAAAAGAAAGAAAATACACAGGTATACTTTTGACATTAGTCAAAAGCACAAGTCCTCAACAGCCATTCACAGCATTAGGAGGACACTTGCTCAGCTAGATACAGATTTGTTGACTGTTTCACAGGGAGAGAGAAGAATAGTCTAAAAGCAATTTTTGCTTCTCACAAAACAGTAACTTCTACTTTGGGAACGTTAGGAAAATGCACAGAAGGTATAAATCCAAGAGCAAAGGATCTTTTGGGGTGATTCCAGATAATCTGTCTTGATGCATAATTTTGTAGAAAGCACCACAGGGAAAAGCAAAATAAGCTCTACAACACAGTTACTACACAGCCATCTGTGAGAAGCCTAATAGATCCCCATATACTGGCAATATCCTACCCTGCCAAGTTCCTGCTTTTCATTGGTTAAATAAATGAAGCAAAGATAGCACTGGCTTGGAGTTCTGCTGATTTGAAGGAGGAAAAATACAGAAAACCTAATGGTAAATATGTATAAATATGTATATATCTAATATGTATATATTAGATTACTTTATCTAATCCCAACAAAATCACAAATCAGAGCTATGCAGGAGTCTTGTTTTATCCTCTTAGGGATTAAACACTTCCTAAATAAGAAGTAACGTTACCAGCTTTGCTGAAAGCTACCCTAAGAAGTGTAGCCCACAGAGTGTTTGTGTTAACTTACAGAAAAAAATGTACTTGCAGGCTGTGAATCAAATAATTACAAATGTGGTCCTGGAAGGAGAATTGAGGAATGTATCTTGTCAAGGAAGGACAGCAAACTGGTACCTTTCACAGAGCAATTACAGTGCAAGTAGTGCCTCAGTACCCTCCCACTGAAACAGGTGGGTGGTCACTCTGTGAACGCTTGGATGAAGCTGGAATGAAGTGGGAAATTACAAACTGCAGTACCTACCTAGTTTTGAGAACTGACATTTATTATTTTTAAAAAGCATGTTCTCTTTTCAGCTTCCATTTTTACTGCTCTTGACAGGCTTTACATTAGAGCAACAAACATAACAGCTGAAAAGGCTTTGCTATTTTAGTTGGCGACAGTCCAACAACATTATGTCTTACTTCAGGCAAAACATTTGTTTCCAGCTTAAAGAAAACAACAGCAGCCTGAAGCACATTTCCATGCAGTGATAAACAAACAAAACTGTTGCATCTCTGGCAAAGAATAAGATGAGTCACTCTTGCATGACTGGAAAGGTGCTCAGAAAGCTCACCTTGTACAGGCGTCACTACTGTCCCCTTGAAATGTGGATTTATGTGTATGTTCTTCGGTTGCTGAGGTGTCACTGGAGGTGGAGTCATCATGATTCGAGGTGTTTCTATTGGAGGGGGCATATGAAGCCCTGGAGGAGGAGAAGAATGATGCTGATGCTGTAAAGGAAGCAGAGATTGTAACTGTTGCTGCTGCTGCTGCTGTTGTTGCTGCTGCTGTTGCTGTTGTTGTTGTTGCTGTTGTTGCTGCTGGAACAGACTCATAACAGGTTGCTGGTGTGTTGGAATTAACCTCTGTGAATGAGTCTAAAGTCAGACAAAAGAACAAAGTCACCAGGCTTTAAAGTTTAAAATATCCTGACATAAATGAGCACAAAACCAAGACACCCTTGGAGAACAATTAAGGCCAATTATGAACAGAAAAATTTCTTTCCCTATATTAACTGGAACTGTTTAGAACTATCAGCACAGGAAAGCAAAGGAGCAATCGATGACATTCATGTGAAGGAGAGCAGAGAGCAAGGAAGCACAGAGGGCATGCAGACAGACTCACTTATTTTTAACAGTGAAACTGTCTAGTTTCATATGGTAGCATTCTGCATGTTACTGGAAACTGTCATCAACTGCAATAAGGTACATGTGAAGATCACTGGAAATCTGAGTCCAGGTATCAGAACAAATCCACTAACTTTTGTCTCACATACAGAAGAGCATGAGACAACAGATCTAGCACTAGCAAAAAAAGTCAAAATACAAATTAAACTAGATTCTTCAGTTATCAGTGCAGCAAACCTATCCATACTGCTCGAAGAAAAAACTACTTTAAAGATACCTTTCCAAGGTACCTTTCCTAGCACAGAAGGAAGTCTCTTGCTGCTCAACACTCATAAACAAATGGCCAAAATCAGTTCTAATAAAAAAAAATATGTTTCTTTTCAGAGACATTCTTCTATCTCTGAACTCACTGACACCAGACATTAGTACTATCCAGTAACTTCCAAAGGGTAGTGAAGAAGAGTCCCAAAGAGGCAACCTTTTAGCAACAAAGATGTCACACATTTTTTTTTTAGCAGCCATATACATAAAGCAAACCAGCTACATAGTATACACAAGAAGATACTGTGACAAGCACAAAAACGTTTACAACATTTAAAATCAAAATAGCTAGCAAAGACTGCAGCAAACCAGAAAAGTAAATTATTCAACCTTCACTGTTTTAAAAGCATGAAACATTCTACTGCAGGGCTCTCAACCGCTGAGATAACACCGACTCCTGCCAGTGACCAGCACTTAGTAACTGCTGTTGGAAAAAATCACCTCTGTTTAATACAGACGAGCTTGTCCTGCAAAGACATACACAGGCCTTGTTCCACAATCTCAGTTACCAGTACATTTTATGCAAGTGAACAAAAATAAGTGTGGGCTACCTCTTGATCCCACATTTGGTGGAGTTGTTGGGGTTTTTTTGGATGAAAAAGGTCTTTTAGACTGTGACATAAAGCACAGGGGAAAAAAAGCAGCAATAAAGTTTAACTTCATCTGAAATCCCAAATAATAATTTATCTACTAGGGAAGTAATGATTACCTTCCTAGGGTTTTATTTACCTCCATGGCTGACAGGCAAATAGATTTTTTTTATTTTTTTTAAGAAGTGTCACCAAAAACATTTCTTGGACAAAAACCAAGAAATATTTTACAGAATAATCTTTTTAAACTACATTACTATTACAGAACATGTTTCCATGTCGCAGGTAGAGGACTTCTCAGAGGAATTAAGTTATTCCTCCCTTCTCATGCAAATCAGCAGGTTAAGTCTGACTGTGTTGTACGAGTCAAAATGCACTTTACATTTGGAATCACATACTTCACAATCCTCAAGTTACACAAAGCCATCTTGCCTAACAGAGAGCAAAAGGTCTACACTGGAACATATATTCCACCTTTGCAAAAATTCACGGTTTAGAATGCATTTCTCCATCACTTCCTGAAAGGATGTTCAAAGAACACTAAGGATTAAAAGGTACCATTGTTGATGGCTGGTTTGGCAGCAGTGCAGGCCTGTGATCCTTCATTCTTCCCCTATCATTATTGTCTCTCCTTTGTTCTCCCATTCCGTGGCACATAATGGAGCCTCCTCTTCGCCCTCCTCTCCTGGAGCCGTATCGTCCCTGTTTAAGCTGCCTTTCCCTCTCTTCAAACTCACGTAATGCTGCTTGGGCTTCTGCAGAAAGCTCTGTTAAGAGAGAAAGGGGGAAAAATATTTTAGCTTTGCACTGAAAAGAAGGAAAATACATTGAAAAGAACATTGCTAGAACTATAGAAGAATCCCTGCACTAGGATAAAATTTGCAGGCACTTTGATCTCCTTTAGGTGGCATGTTAACATTTCATTAAAGACATCTCTAAAAGGAAAAAGCACAGATACTAGTGCCTTTTGCACAGGCAAAAAGCAGCAGATAAATGAAATAAACATGAACAAAGAGGTTTGGTTGTTTTGTTTTTTAAGTTGGTATTGAAGTTTGCCTTCTGCTGCAAGAGGTGGATGTGGCTCCTCTCAAAGATTTATTGCCTTAAGCATCTCACTTATCTGCCAAAATGTCAGGTAGGACAATGAAACCTCCAGTAAACTTTACTGTAAAGGATCTGTTGAGTCTTACATATAAACAGATTTTATCCACCAAACTCTTCTGCACATTGGCCTGTTCCAAAGAAGCACTTCCTGATGTTCGTTGAAGTGAGTTTCCAGTATGTAACTAATTACTATTTATTTTACTGTATGTGGTTTAAGACCCAGTTGTACTTCACAAGTGAGCACAAATTAAAATCTGTACTCAGCTCAAGACAAACACATGGCTGCTGATAACACCCACCCAACTCACATCACAGGTAAACACCAGCGAACAGAGGGTACTCAACAAAGACTGACAAATTTCCTTGAAATCTTGGACAATGCTCACAGAATATTAAGAGAAAAAGTATTCAGTAACAGACCCAGGTAATGAAATTACTTGAAAATGCAGAGGAAGTCTACAACAGACTTCAGGAAACACACCATGGCAGTATGAGCAGTGCCACTCACCAGGCCTGAATCACCTAAACAGGATAATAAACTTTACCTCAAACATGCAGTTGAGTCTTTTGCCATTTTGCCAGTCAGATCCCCTGTTACCTCTGATATTGACTGCTCCCTCTAACAAGACAAAATTAAACTACTCTAAAAGAAACAAACTCCTGAAAAATAAAAACATATTTTGAATTAATATAATATATACTTGGCACTACTACACATAGTGGCTGCAATATTTGAATATCAGAATAAAAATAATTTGTATGTGGCAGTTGAGACAGTAGTCCTGCATCTCCACTAGATATACACCAAGAATACATAGCTAAGGCAATTAGAAAACTCTTACAGTTTCCTGCGAGTCTAAAAGCCAAAGCTACTTAAACCACCCTCTTAAACATCTTCATAAGTAATCTCCATTAGTCTTTGAAGTTGAGGATTGACAGAAGGGCAGAGAAGGGTGAGTGCTGTGCATTCCCACTGCGGCCGTTGTTCTTACTTGGCTACAAAAACTACCTGCATGACTGAGCTGCAAAGACTAAATTTGCATGTCCCAGTTTTCAGAAGTATTCAGCACCTCCACAAAGCAGTGGCTTTTTAAAGGAAAAGTTCAGAACTTGCTGATGGCCTGTAAGAACACAGTAAACATGACAGACTTCTAAAAGCTCAGGATCTGCCATAGAGTTTCCTATTTCATTTTTGTGTGTTGGTGATAAGACAAGTTTCTCTTTGTCCTTTCCTCTCCTCTCTGACACCACAATCAAATGGCATAAAGCCTTAGCAGATACTCTTATGAAACGCTACCTCTGCCCTCAAGGCACATGCCTCGAGACATCAGCAGAGCCCAAGACAATCAGGCTTTATCAGAAACATCTCACAACATGCTTTAGAAAGAGACAAGGAACCACAGTCCCTCAAGTCTTAGTATGGTATTATATGTGCACACTATGGATTTCTGAGGAAATTAAAACAAATGTACTCTTGTCTAAAGCAATCAAAAGCATCAGATGCAACTAAAACAACCACCTTAGCCAACTTTGGCTGTCAGGGATAAAAAAGCCAGTTTGGTGAGAAAAACACGGCTCTAATTTCAAGCCTCTTTTCTCTCCACACCTGCAGCAAGTTCTGTTTCTTCAGAGGTCTAACAAGCATGAAAGAGCAAATGTGGTCTTTGACTGGTCTGCCAGAAAGATGGATCACTAGTTCCCATTTACATAGGGGGGAAAATAGTGTCACTATGTTGCAAAGGAGTAACACTCCTTCCTTTAAATTCTGCAGGGCATACTGGATGTGCTGCTAGTTGGACAGTTGGGTTTTTTCCCCAGGAATAGGACAGGCAGGACAATTTCTCTGCCTTCTTCCATACTAGAACCCTGAACTCAGCAAGGCTGTAGTCCAGAAAACAAAGTTCAGTCACCTCCACAAGTACCTACCACTGACAGTCATGACAGATGATAAGAAGCAACTTCCTGTTATATAGAAATCACATGTGAGGAAAGCAATTTTTAATGAACCTGGGAACAGAGCTAGACTTCCTAAAAGGCAACATTATGGCCAAGTCTCTCAGCCTCTAGAGCACATATTGAAGAACACTGAATAGAAACAACTTCAGAAGAAAGAATTGGCTGCTCTAAACAAAATTACTTCAGAGCACTGTGCTGATTAACCTAAGGGAAGGGATGACAGCATCCATACAAAGGTCTTCGATGCGCTTTTCACTATCTTTAAAATGAATAAATTGTCTTCTTCCTCACTTTACACAAAATTTCACAAAGTTTAAAGGCCATGTCCTTAAAGGCACAGTCCACGTGTTCAGTTTTTCAGCCAAGAAAGTGAACACGTGTGTAACACCAACCTTGGAAAAAACATCCCAACCCAAATAAAAACCCTCAGGAATTCACTGCAGCAAACATCATTGCATTCATACCACATCTATGACCACAGAAGTACAATATAACCATTTGATTTTTTAAAAAAAGAGATTACATCAACATCAAACATACTTCCCTCACAGTATGCCATTAAGGAAACAGTGTCCTATAATTTCACTTAGACACAAAAGTGCAGGTTCAGAACCACAGAGAGACTGCAAAAGTCAACACTCATGCCATGAACACCTCAAGTGCTGTATATAGATATACAATCACCATACAGCAAAATATAGTCAGTTCAATTATTAGCTGGGCTGCATGTTGTATCTGAGAGCACTGTGCCACAAATACAGAGATCAAGGAGAGGAGATAACATGGAAGATGGTTTTGCACAGAGGAAGAAAAGAAAACAGTCCCTGTCTTCCCTGAGAGCAAGATCACATTGCTAACTAGAAATGAAGCGATGAGCAGAGGAAGAAGAGATTGGCTTTCCCTACAGGGCTTCTCCCTGGCTAAAACCTTGTGTACAATGTGGTAAAAGCACCCTGGGCCCAGCTGGATGGTGCCAGGCTCCCTGCACAGCGTGTGCAGGCTGGGGCAGCTCTGGCTCCTGCCTGCACCAACCCTGAGCACACACCTCTGTGGGTACTTCTGCCTCACGCCGCTCCCCGAGAGCAACAGCACTGCAAACCCACAGGTCTGAAAATCCCAGAATCCGTATTATCCTGGGTAATGCAGAGATTTTCAACACCAATCACATTCTCAAACAGCTATAAATATATATATTCATTTACATGTATATGCAGCATGTTGTAACTTTTTTCTCTTTATCACCCAGATCTGCAAATTGACTACACTCTGTGCTTCTGTAACAGGACAAGAGTGATACCACTCAGTTTAATTTCCTAGTCATGCCTGAAATCTCAGCCACTAGTCGTCAGAGTGAACATAAGCCAACTAAGCAGGGCATAACAAAAAGTACTGCCATGTCCAATTAACCTTTGTTAGCACTTTGCAAATGGTTCTGAATAAGTGTAAGGGTTTGGTTTGATTTTTTCTTAAATTAGGTACAGAGGGGATACTTTAGTTTGGTGATACCAAAGACATTTTTTCTCTTAACGTTCCTTAACAGGTAACTAAATCCAGAGAATAATGGCAATTTCCACTCTGGGAAGACTTCAACTACATGTACTGAAAGAAGTTACATATTTCTTATCAAAGGTGGCAAACTTGATATCACTAGAAATCAACTGCATAGCTGTCCTACAGCACCTGTCCTTTGGACTTTGCAAAACCACTATTTACATTAGCTTGGATAAAGCAATGCTTAGGAAAGATCTCAGCTACATTCATGAGAACACTTTGTATTTTTACATCTGTTTTACTGGCACACACTTAGTCTCATCTTGACTGTACAGTTCTCACACACACAGTTAATGCAGTGAATCAGCAATTATTTTTCTGGTGTCTCTAAGTGTCAAGATTAATTTCACTATCGCTGGTAATAAAATGGTTTCAAATGACATCTTTAATCAGTAAGTAAGAATGCACTCCTCCAATAGAGACAAGCTGTCACAAAAGGTCACCAAAATGTGACAGGATGGAAATTACGTTTGTAACTTCAACTGAAATGTTAATTCCTCTTTAAGTGTTTTCTGAACTATGTTCATATTTTAGAGTAAGGAGATGTAGGTCTGCAATGAAATTTCATTTTTAAACTACAGCATCTGTAAAAATTTGCTCTATAATCTCAAAAGGAAGTAGATACTTATATGCAAACAAGAATCTTTTGTGGTTTAACTTTCTACCACATGGTCAATCATCTGGTCTCTTTATCAACAAATTAACAAGAAAAGCTGGTATGAATAGAAACCATTTCACAACAGCAAGATTGTATTTTTGCCAAATACTAGTTTCAGAAAAACCTTTTTATAGAATCATCCACCCTTGCTTCATCTCTTCCTTATATCTCAGAGCTATACCCCAAATCACTTAAAATTACATTTAAAAATAAGTCTAATTCAAACCACTCTTCTTTTAACCTGTAGTGGAGCTTGACTGTTTTCTCCTCACTGGCTGATATTTTTACATTAAACTGAAGAATAAATCCACAGATACACAAATCCCCATGCAATTGCCATTTACCTTGCAATTACGTGAAGAAATTTAGTTATTCTAGAGTGCTCTTGCTTTTACAATACTCTGTTTTGTAAAGCCATCAACACCTTTTGTACAAATAAGATGTAGTCTGTATGTGGTATGTAAACACACGGTCTTATGGTTGTAAACACATTTGGAACTTACCTCAGCTAAAATACCCCTTGCCCCAATAGACCACTCTGTGCCTCTACAGCGTTCCCTTCAGTCTTACTCTATCAGAATCAATTCCTGATTGTTAAAACAATGCTGAATAAAGGCCCTAATACATGCTTTGCCTGACATTGTAAGTAAAAGCAGCTATTTGCTAAATATGAACAACAGAGCAGAAATACCTTTGATTCAAAATCAAGCCCTGACATCTCTCACAGCATGACACAGAATACCACTGTGAAGGTCTAGTTCAGCCTCCTCTGCAGCTGCTTCCTCACTGCTCACAAACAAGTCCTCTTAGCCACAACACCTCTTTACAGAATTAAGGCTTCTCAATTTTTGCAGGCATAATAAAAGCCCAAATCCCTTGCATTCAGATTAAAGAATTAGCAGGTTATACAATCCACAAGAAAAATGCTTAGAACTAGCATCCTTTGCAAAGCAAAGCTTTTAAGGTAAGAGGAAAATTTCATCAGGATGAGTTCTAGTACTCTAGTATCTGCTGTGGGAATGCAATTCCAAAATGCCCTGCTGTGCAAAGACACTGACTCATCTGTAAAGAAAGTAGAAGCACCCAGTTTCTAAGTTCAGGCTGCATGGCACCCTCTTAAAGGATTCTGGGTGAAGAATCCACCCCTACAGTCTGCCAAAACTTGAAAGTATCATAACACACATCTTCTCCCAGTTGTATCTGACAATTAGCCAACAGTACCTGACAATTTGCTTTCATTACCAGTTCACCTCTCTTGCATATCTTGATTCTCTTCAAAAGATCAGGGCTTTTTTTCCATAGTTTGAATTGATATTTTGGTTCAGTAGCAAAACTGTGAGAATGGTACATCTTTCTGGAAGCAAAACTTAATTTCTGCCCATCTTCCTAATACCTTAATTTTAATTTTACTTATTATTTATTATTATTGCCACCACTCTAAGTCCAACATGAGGAGGTTATCCCCAATGGGGTGGGCACAATACCAGTACTATATACCTGAATACCTAGGGCACATGAAAGATCTTTAGTTAACTCTCAAAGCCATAAACCAAAGTGATTTTATCTATAGACTAAAACAGGGCAACTGCAAGAAAGCTCCAAATCTACTGATTTGAAGTAGCAGTGGCAAATTCATTACATACATTAAGCAGTGTTCCTAGAAACAAACACACTACTCATGTTTTGTTACTCAAATAGGAAGAAATTATACCCTTTTAGACACTGCCTAAAGGATTAAGGGGTTTTAAGAGATCCAGATTGTTTCATGTTAGAAAAGCTGAATACAGGAAAAAAAAGGGTTTCCGTGTTTTCTAACACACTCCCCAACAAGTTACATTTTCTCTAGGCCAATTCAAGAGTAGGAACACAACAGGTTCAGAGCATGTTTATATTCCTGGGGGAAAACAGCAAACATGTAGGTATTTCACAACAGAACACAAGTAAGAAGATTTGTTTTATCAGCTGAAAATCACCCAAAGAAATTCCTTAAAATGTATTCCAGCACAATATGTAGCGAAGCACAGATCAGAGAGCTGCTGCTTGAAGAGGGGAAAGCTTTTCAAGACACCACGGAAGTCCCAGTGAACAAATATAACAATGATTTTCAAAACATGATATGTTTAAACATTATTCTCAAGGAGACAGACACCACATGCACTACAAGACAGGACATACGGCTTTGGACAATTTGGATATAAGCCAGTCTAAGTTAGAAGGTGACTGTTCTACCTTTTGCCATTAAACTCTTTTAGAAAAGTTTTCGCAAGCCTGTCTTTTACTTTCATTAGTTACAGCTCTGCAAAACAGTCCATTGCCACAAAAACCTCACCCAAAGTTTCTGGAATGTTTCTCCTTTCTCTTGTCACATCTGAGAGCCTAATTATTGTTCCTTCTTTCCGTTCCGTTTTGAAACGTAACCGTCCGGACTCTTCGTCATCATCCTCCTCTTCGTCAGATTCTTCTTTTGTTTCTTCTTGAAGTTCCAGAGATCCAATTGCTGCCTGAATCACAAAACACAGAGGACATGCAACATGAAAAATCTATTTCCTCGTGATCAGTGTCAAAAGGCAAATCTTTATTTAAAGGCCCCTTTGAACAAATTTTGCTGGCATTACACTTTGTGCTCATGCATAATTCAGTGAACATTTAAGAGCTTGGTGAATTTTTTTTTAATAGAAATATATGAACTACAGAATACATTATAAAGTAAAATCTATTTGGAAAACACATTTTGTTGCAACATTTCAGGGAATATTGAAATTCCAGTTAGAATCTCCACCTGATTAGCACCTACTTCTTCACATTTTAGCACTGAATTCACTAAGATACAAACCTGGGATACTGTCAGGTTTTCAAGCACTTCAAACAGTAAACTAATAGGGTCTTTTTTTTTTCTTCATTTTTTTTAACAAACATCAGTAGCTTGTTAAAAAAAAACTAACAAACACCAGCAAAAACCAGATAACCATGTATCTCAATCTTATTCCTCTAGGTATGTCTTTACTTTTTCTATTCCTTGAATATTTCCTACTTTTAATTCAGCAATTGATGAAGAGAATGAAGAACAGCATTGAATAAAATTTGAAAATATTAAATTTGTATTCTGGAATGCTACTCTATTTCCAGTTTTCTCTATAACAGAGAACATTTATTTAGATAGTGTCCCAAATGAGAAGGGATCCCTCTCCTTCAAATTAATAGGAAAAAAAAAAATCCATTTCATTTCCCTGTGCTGGCCTGGCCTGATGAAAATAATGTTTCAGAATGTTACACAAGTTATATTTGATGTCAGCAGTTGAAAATTAGAAGTGTTCTAACACAGCATGATTTTCCATAAAATTTTTCTGTTACTGTGTATTTAGTTATTTCTTGTACAAGCCCATTTACTCATTTCTTAGAATTAAAATGCATGTGTAGGCTCTATGCAAAGACTCCAAATACATTATAACTTTTATGCCACTTGAGGACCAATTACTAAATGAGCGAAATCTAACATGCAAAAATGGTTTAAACTTCAAATTAACCAGATCAGTGCCGAAATTTATATGAAAAAAGTACAGCAAGTGTGACAGTCAGGCAGACACATATCAACTCACAAATCAAGAAAAAGAATTAATGGAATTAGTTGTGCAAGAGACTGCAAATTTCCTTATCCAGCAGCCCAATTTCATCCATAACCAAAAAAAAAAAACGTGGGAAGCAAGACCAGAAACAGGATGATCTGGCAAGACACTTTCTGCTTTAAAAGACAGCACACCTTATGAACTCCAGCTCAAAGCTACTATAACTTTGGTCTGGTGAATAAATGATCTGTGTACTTAATTCCTGGGCTTTAATGGACTCCTGATCCCAAGTTATTTTCATTTAATCATCCCCTTATCTCAAAATGTTTTTTATCCATTCCCGGTAAACATCCAAGCACTACACTTTCTGACCTCACAAAAATGCTTTAAGATACAACTAAGGAAGCAGTCAAAGCCTTATACTTCACAAATGTATTTGTTTTTATGTAATAATTTTATTAAAAAAAAAAAAAAAGCTAAAAACCAGACAGAATAGCAGGCAAAAAGCCCCAAAACTTCAAGAGTGAAAGAGATATAAACCTCAAAAGCAAATTGAGCACAATTGGTCTGATTAACATATCCATGTATAATCAAAACACCTCTGAGGACAGGCCTTGAGACTCATGGAACAGAGGAGGGATGTTAGCAAGGAAAGAGATGCTAAGGTGGTTTAATAAAAACAAACAAGAGGGAAAGACAGGCTTAACATTTTACTTTCAAAAGAGGGACTCTCAGAAGAGAAAGGAGTAGCAATATCTCTATTAAATCTATGGTTTTAAGTATCACAACCCCCATAATTTTACTGTATCAATGCTTGTTTTTAGAAACTTCCCTTCAGGATCAGGATTTGGAAGTCACAACTGGAGCAGCTCTTTTGCAAGACATTGATCTCACTACATTGAGCCTCCTGTTTTACTTAAAAGCATAAGCCCCAGATATTCACTCTCTGTGTCCATGCCCATTAAAAGCTCTATTGGAATTACAGTTTTTATTAACCAAAGACTGTTCTCAATCATTTAATCTCATCTGTGAGTGCAAAACTTACTTGTGCAAGGCTCTATGTGTAGCTCAGACTTCAGAACCAGAACTAGAAAGTCTGGTTAGAAAGAATCAGGACTATGCAGTCCGTGTTATCCTGGAAAGTTCTGCTATGTTTTAATGAAATGCTACAAAAAATACCTGTGGAAACTTTTGCCTTTTGACAACTACTCATTCTGGGGAAAAAAAAATCCATTCTAAAAAGAAAAGAATGCAAGTTGTAACAGACTACAAGACAACTACTTACCTATACAACAATAAAAAACATTTCTCAAACTTTTATAGGCTAGTATTATTCTGTTTCTAGCCACTTAAACCAATTCTGCAGCCTTCTGGGTCTGACTCCCTTTATTCATCAGCATAATGTCATGCTATCAACAAACAACAGCCCTACAAGCATTAAATATCAAAGACAAAAAAAAAGAAAAATAAAAATCAAAGGAGTGGATGAAAAAGAAGGCACCAAGGAAAGGCAGTGCTGGAGGATGCTAACTGACCCATGTCCAAGTCTGATTACACGTGTTATTGAGGGATTTGTATTAGTTGCAATGGAGACACAAACATGTCTGACAGCCAACCATATGTTCTCTCCATACAGCTCCAGGAAAGGTTAGCTGAGCTGTGTAGGAGCACACACCCTTCCCCTGCAATTTGTCCAACAGTTGGAGCATGCAAGACTTCTAGATGAGTTTTTCCAATTTCCAGCCAAACAGGATGAGCAGTTTTGCCAAGACAATAGTATATAAAGGGATTCTATATTTCAAAAAGACACAACTGCAGACAAAGAATTAAGACATACTAGTACCTACAGGATTGCTTTTAATACTTGCTAATCATGAATATCTCTGCATGGTCATACACGGCCCCTGAATGGCCACTTCAGGTCATTTGACTGGACTTGCCAGCCAAGGCTTCTGGCAGCTCTCCTCAAAGGGAGCTTTACATTTCCCATTTTGACACCCTGCACAAAGCCACCAAAGAGCTTTGCTGACCCTTACAAAGAAAAAGAACGACCTTTCTTCTACCACAAGGTCAGAGGTTCCTGCCATTCTCATTAAATAATTATGCCATAAATCCCAGTCACTGACCAGAACTCCTCATGCTGGGCTATGAACCACTGCTGAGAAAGAGTGAGTGCTCCTGCCCAGACAGCTCACCAGGCACCTGCAGCAGTGGCAGCAAACACAGCCCAAGGAAAGCAGGAAAAAACACTGCTCAGCATGATCCTCCCAAACATGCCATTATCAAGTGTTCTGGACAGCTTTGTGCCGGAGACTGGTAAGATGTTGTAGAGGCTAAACCAGAAACCTTATAAAGGTGAAACAAAGAACTTATTGAGTAGCCAGAAAATAGGCAGTGGAGGCATCTACTAGAGGCTAACACTGAAGCAGCAGCAATTGCTCAGTCCTAGGGGATCAAGAGATAAGAGGGCAGATAAGGGGGTGTTACACCTATTCCAACGGCATCTCAACTCCACAGACGAAAAATGAGACTAAAATAATAAACCTAAGTGCCTTTAAATATGTTTTAAAATTGGTTGCTTTGATTTGCACTCTTTTCATCATTTTCCTCCAGGTTGACAAGTAGCGTCTTCAAACTTGAACAAAAGTACTAAAATGCAGAAGTTTTGGCTACACACAGATGGAACAATTCAGACAGATGCATTGGCCTTTTTTTCCCCAAGCCTGTATTCTATCAAAAGAAAAGCAGTATGTAGGACATTTTCATGAAATGTTTTCTTGATTAAAGTCCTCTACATTTCTTATCAGCATAACCCAAGACACGGTTTAAATTTATGCAATGACAAATCCCCTACCATACACTTCACAGATTAGTTCTGATATAAAACAAAGAAATCATGAATTCTAATTTCAGGAGGGTTTATTTTTATTTCATTTTCACACTCACATTTCACAGAAGTAATTAGTGATATTTTTCCTCTAAAAATATTTAGGACATGATGCCTCATGTGACTGTTCTACCACACCTATTTGCTGTTGAAATTTCTGGGTATTGAGTGGTTTTGCTTTGTACCTTAGGAATGCGAAAATATTTTCTGAACCACTGCTACATTTTTCAAGGAAGCTCCACAGAGAGTGTTATTTATTTAAAATCCAAGGTTCTAAGCACTGTTTCAAGCACAAGCTTTACCTGCCTTTTCCTCACACCTCCCACCTTGAGTGCCACTCCTAACAGGTGTCTAACTTCCCATATTCACTTGTTTCCTCCCATTATTTTCCAGCTCCTCATCCAGTCAGCTTTTCTCTTGGTTTACAGAATTTCTTCATGCAATCTAATAAGAGGTTTTATTTGGTTTTAATGTGGGAACTGCATAAAATACAACACCAAACACTCTTCTCTGTCAGCTCTCTCTCAGTTGTTCACATGCCAAATTTCAATCAGGAGATAATAATGCTATTTCTTTGCATCCATTACAGCTCTATTCTTGTGTTGCATTTTTCTACAGGAGAATGCCAACTTTAGCCTTGTTTACAAGTAACGAATGTTGAGATTTAAGGGAGAGTACTGTTATATAACACTCAAATAAAGAACACTCTTCAGAGCTGGAGGTGGCATCTAACCTTGCAATAAAAAGAACTGGATACTCTACAAAGGTTCTCTCTCTTAGTGGTATTCTCATTTAGAGAGTACAATTATGAGCCTGCTGCCAAATGTAAATAAGCTGCATATTATATAAGAACAGAATAAAAAGATGCTACTGTTTTGGGAAGAAAAACCTGTGGCAATCTGCAAACCATTAGAATAATGCCAGAATGTAGAGTAAGCAAACAAAGATGTGGCCAAAATGCTCACATTATATGATGAACAAATTCTGTAAAAGCTCTATTAAGAAAAACAATAAAAACTTTCATTAATGGTACCTTTTGAATGAAAGTAATTTAATTCTGAATTGGATGAATTTAGACAACATCATTATTACAGAATTCTCATTAGTTTGTACTCTAAAAATGAAGCTGTACTTTTTTAAGGTCGTAAGTCTGACAGTGAATCTCAGCTATGTATTTAATTTTACATGATGTACATTGTGTCCATCATCTTAGACTGCAGCTGCAGAAAGCCCAAATGCATCACTCCACTTCCAAAATGCCAAAAAGAAAGTGTGTATAATCCAGTAAATGATCAAAACGTGTTTAGACATTGCACAATTCTTTCAAAGAGTAGATTTAATACTTGTGAAGTAGCAAATAACTACATTAAGGTTTATTTGGTACAAGATGTCATGCTTGCAACAGTGGAGGACTGAACAACGCAGGTGGCCCCTTTCAGAGCAGATCTCTGCCTACCAAGGAATGTTGTTTTACCAAAATAGGTTTGCTACAACTAGACCATCACAGCACACCCACTTGTAAGAACTTCACAGAGTAACACTGCTGTGTCTTTGAGGAATTAATTTCCTGATGAGTTAAAGCTCCAAAGAGGAAACACACTCTGACTACACTTCTCAGCAGGTAATCCATTCAATCCTATTTAATTAAGAACTGGAATAAAAGTAATATTAAAGCAGATTCCTGCTGGGGAAAGAAAAAAAATCCCCCATCAAAAACTTGCTGCAAATTAAAAACAGGTATGATACTTCTGTTCTGGGCTATAATCAGTGACTGTCTATGTGGCACTCTTTGGCATAAGCTTTATCCTTGCAAATGAAGGAACTCATTCTTTCTCCTAAGCAAAGAAGTAAAATAAACTTCACAGGAACTTCAGTCCCAACAAAACTGCTTTCGAAACAGCAATATAACCTTTGCCCTTCTAAAATACTGAACTTTCCATGCTCACACTCCTCCTCAAAGGGGGATACCCAAGAACTGTATTTACACTCCCAATGGCACAAATGATCCACCTGGAAAGTGAGGCATCACAGCTATCAGAGATTTAACAGACATCATGCAGTGTTACTGTCATTCTCCTACCCAAACAGCCTCTGAAGTTACTAATGTTGAAGCCAAGACTAAATATGCACATTTTGGCCTACTCCTTATGGTTTTCATCCCAAGGGAGAGAGGGCATTTGATGTATCTGACAGTATAGATGCTATCACAATTCATCTTATACAAAGAGTAATATGACCAATAATTCAACACTGGCAAAGTGCATCAGTTCTTACTCTGTAATAGGTACAAATTCTATGAAATCAATCTCTAAAAGAACTAGTTAAGTTTCCGTTAAATTTACAACATACCTCTTCTGATTCATTTGCCATTGTCTGGGATTCTTCCAGCTCCTCATCAGCTGTATATTCTCCTTGTTCTTCCATTGCTTGCTCATTATATGATTGCATGTAATCTTCATCCTAAAGCAATAACACATGAAGGTGAAAAGACACAGGCAAACTGTACAGAATTGCAAACCCATGGAAAGGTGGGGTCTGGCTACATTGTTACGACTTCCAGACTTGAAGAAAAGTATTGTCTCTATCAGAACTGTCAAATAAGTGATATGACATACATACAGTATAATTAGCAGGGCTTTTAACTAGACCATAATTTCAACATCATCAAAACTAAAGCAGTTTTCACTCAGATACCAATGTCATAATAAAGATCCCATCTAATACTGTTTGCTCCAACTTCTTCTATACATCTACATCCCCCATTTACAAATTCATCAAGCAAACACTGCAGTCCTTTCTTACCAAAGAAAACATGCACCTATGCACATATACATTAACATCAGATTTTACCCCATCAGAATATAAACATTCTTAAAACACTGTGCAAGCACCTACATATGAGCAGGTTCAACTCCGAAAAATTATGAACATAAAACAAGAGCAAAAGCTTTCCTAAGTAAGTTTGCTTGTATTTTAAAACACCTCACTGATCACATACAGTTTTAATTAAGATTAAATCACTTCACTAGCAATTAAAGCCAGTGCATGTTCTCTAATACGCTGCTTAAATTATATTGAATTATGCAGGTGACATTTTCTGAACTAACCTCCAATCTCTTTATTCAGGTTTAGACAGTTCTCAGTTACAAAAAGGATGAACGAGCAGGACATCAATCACTTTGGGATATTAGCACCTTAAAGATGTCTTTAGCAGGTCAATAATCTTTTCACCTTCGAAGGACTTTATCAGATCTTGTCTAAAGCCTGGATAAAAGCTTTTGCATTAAGTACTTCTAACAATTGGCAGTGTATCTCCACCACACAAAGCTGTTTTCTTCCTTAAGGATACAATCCTCAAGGTCATGATTCTCAACTGCCTTCCCGCATGACAAAGGAGCATTACCTACCGCCAAACAAGCTGTCAACACAAACTTTGTCACAGCCTAGATAAAGAAACTGGCAGACAGTGATAATAGGTCTAATTTCCCCTCCTCCCTAGGGAGGCAAACAGATTTTAAATCAGTCTAAAACCCTATGCACGCAAAGTAATGTTATCTTTAAAGATACAATAGAAAGAAACTCACTGGAAATTCATCGAGGGGTTCATTGATTTCAAGGTCTAGCACTTCATCTTCTTCTCCAGGCTCTTCCCCATATTCTATCTGGTCTTCTGTCAGTTCAGGATCATTGCCTTCATAATGTCCTTCCCCTGCATACTCTGAAGCATATTCTTCAGGTGCTTCAGATTTGTCATAACCAATTTCATCTTCCCCTTGGTCATACTCAGACTCATGCTCTAGCGATGGATCATTGATGGACTCAGAGATTTCATATGATGCCAGCATGCCAGACGTGGCATTGAGGCTCACTGTGACACCTGGAGAGCTGTGGGATGGGGGGAGGGGGTGGAATTCAGAGGTTGGAGTGCAACAGTCAACTACTCGCAAAGATTTAGCAAAACAAAGCCAACAAACATAAGTTCTCTAAGTTGGTGGACAGAATTATACCCCATATACTATTTGACTGCATGCCATGTTCTCACAATGCATACTGTACTGCAGCTTATCACCAGCTGCAGGCTATTTGACCAGGGGAATCAAACGAACCAGATGGTTTAGCAGGTCAAACTGGCAAAAGTCCTGCTTTGTCACCAAAGCAGACTGGATTCAATTTTAATTCCAAGACTAACAAAAAAATACATAAAATTGCTATAACTGCATCTGTTTTCCCAATCTTTCAGAATATTCTAGTAAAATATTTTTTACTAAATGTATTCATGTTGTTCATTCTTGATTATCTTGAATTCAAAGTTACATTTTTATGACAGATTTAATGTTCTGCTTAATATAAAATACATGGTCAATAACTGTAATTTAAATGCCTGAGACATTCTTAACTTAGTAACAGCACTGGCACAGACACTGAAAAAAAACAATCAATACAAAACCTGACACATTTATAATCTGCAGGCAAAGCAAAGCTCAGAATTTAATGTTTACAACAGCTAGTGCCATCAACACATAAAAAAGCAACTAACCAACTGCAGACAAGTTAGAAAAGCAGAGGGGGGAAGCTCTTCTTGATTTCAGGGCGGAAGGTATAATGAAAATAAAGATATTTTTATTTTTTTTTAAGTAACAGTCCTATTATTCACCATTTTCCTACATTTGGGAGAAAAAGATCCAGGCAGCTCTGAGCTATTTGCATCTATAAGACAGGGAAGATTTAACACAAAAATGAAGACATTATGCAGGATTATCATTATCCTCCCAACTACAGAAGCATGAGGTTGAATGGAAATAGAAGGAAAAGGGAAAGGCTCTCACTCTCTGCCGATAAAACTGCTAAAAATGCAAAACTTGTCTACAGAAACCTGCTTCCACTGAGCAATATTATCACACTTCAGATACTTTCTTATCACTCATGTGGTTACATAGCCACTCCTGCTGCCCAGGGGTCTCAGGGAGGATACACAGTGAAGTGACAGCAAGGACCAATAGGGATTCCCTCTTTTGAAGGGAATAGTCCAACCCTCACTACCTGCAGGAAGGAAAACAGCAGTCAATGGACAGCTGGATGGCTGGAGCATTTATCACACCACCATCAGTCCAATACAATGACAGGACTCCTTATACTACTGAGGGCTAAACATAGGTGATCTCTGAGATATAGATATATCAATGCATGTTACATATACATTCATACCCCTTCAGATGACATGACCTGCACAGTGTGCAACAAGTAAAGAAAAAGCTGGAAAAACACACAGGCCATTAAAAGCAGCAGTGGTATTGCATCACTCTGGCATCACAAGCATCCTCCCCCCTGCATCAGTCCAGCTTGAAAAAGCAAAAATGACAAGACACTCATTTTGAGTTGTGATGCCCATAATTCAGCTGTGAAGTTGTATCACCAGGGAGTATTCACAGGGCAGGATCCTCAGTGAACTCCCGTGGAAGTACCTGCTCCAGCCTATAAACTCTGTTACAAATTTTCTGCTGTGTAATTGTACACAAACAATTAAGCCACAAATCAAGCCTCGCCAAGTGTGCAATTCCCCATCCTCAGGGTCTTAGGAGGCAAGATATTTTTAAAAGAAAGATGGCAGAAAAGGACTTCACAGCAGAAGGAAGCTTATAACAATACTGAGGCTGCAAAGAGCAAAGCTCTGTAACTGTTTATAATGAATTCGATATGTATGGGAGATGACACCATCTCTTCTCATAAGCTTTTTATAGATTTAAATTTCTGAGATTGAAATAACCAAAATTAATGTTATTGATACACAAATAATGCTACTGAGTACATTATATATACATCACTAAGTAACTGGTTAAGTAAAAACCAAAACTATTTTAAGCATATAACAATAACTTTAGTTTAGCAGTTATCAGTAATCAGTAGTAGTAGCCATTAGTAGTTTTGAGTTATCCAAAACAAGATTCAGGAAAGAAATACCGAAATTCTTGTTCCTCTTCATTGTCACTTTGCAGAAGATCATCATTCAGCTCTTCATCTGACAAGTCTGATTGATTCTAGGTTTCAGAAAAAGTCAATCATGAATATAAAAGATATAAACTTTTAACTAACTAGATACTGAAACTTCTGAATACTAAGTATTTTCTTATGAAAAACACGTCTCGGACTAAGACCATACCTTCAAGGAAATGACCTAATTTGATAAGAAAAAAAAACACAAGACAACAAATCTTAAAATACATCTTTGGTAGTCTAATGGAAATTTACAGAACTCGAATTTGCCTATCTATCAGCATTTTTCACTGCTCCATTCTCAAATACAGCCAAAGATGACAACTTGCTTAAGACCAGGAAGGAAAAAAGCTCTAGTTCATGGCCTTGTGACACTGATGCATTAGGCAAGTCAAGAAAATGCATGAAGTTACTTTTAAGTTCTAGAGAGCAAAGATACAGACTGGAGAAAAGGATATAAAGTTGTTTCATTTATTTATTTTTTCTAATAATTACCCACTCAAAAGAGATATCTGCAGATTTGCTAACCAACATTTCCAACCCCTTAAGTAAGAGGCAGAAAGGTTATACAAAGGTAGATTTATCTAGAAGTATTGGGATGAGATTAAGTAGAAGGAAGTTTAGCATAAATAGTTCAGGGAAAACTTTCTGAGAAATCTATTTTTACCCCACCATATGTGTCCATACCCACAGATACTGCCCTGTAACATTGCAAACCAAAAAGAATAGAAAAAGCACAAGAAAAAATAATACTTTGGAGAATCTAGAATTAGTTAGTATTCACATGGATAATTTCATATTTTTTAATATAAGCAAGCAGCTTTATCAACTAGCATTCCAATTACAAAGATATATACAACATTAACTGCTAATGTTTTTGATAACTGCATAACACACAATCTGCAATCCCTATAGTCTTGGAATTTTATTTTCTTTCTTAAAACAGTACATGAGACTAAGGAACTTCCTATCTTTAATAGGGAATACTTACAGAATAGTTTCAAGAAGCTTATTTGCAACAAATAGAAAACTACATCAAATGAAACTCAACTCTTTGTTTCTTAACAAACCTATTAATCTCCAACCAAACCTTAAAAACTACTTTCTAAATGAGTTCATTTAGCAGATAAAATATAAAAGAGATGACTAGTCAGTTTGATTTTCCAAACAGGAATCCTGTCTTCTCCTGCAGATATCTGGCAAACCCAAACATACATTTAGTTCTTTTCACAGAGTTCAGCACTGGAAATGGTTATCAGCATGAGGAGTCTATAGCAGACATGGTGAGAGCTTGTTTGTGTTATCCAGTTCCAGATGCTCCCATGTTTTTCCCCTCACTGAAAAAGGGAAAATCCTCCACCTACTCGTCAGACAACGCAATAGCAGATTGTGCACACTGAGTGTAACCTTTAACAGACATCACTGATTCCTTTTTTATTTACTCTCTGGTAAATACTGCTGGTATTTTGACAAGTCATTTTTAATAGCCAGGAAATCGGCACTTGCATTAAATTCTCCAGCATGCTAATCAGCACTCAGGAGGCCTCACTGTTTTTTGGTTTTGTTTTGTGGGGGGGTTTTTTTTGTTTGGTTGGTTTTTGTGTTGGTTGGGTTTTTTGTTTGGTTTTTGGGGGTTTTTTCCTTTTTTTTTTTTTTTAAATTGTTAAGTCAATATGAGTTACAGGGAAATTCATTTTGAGAATCATCTCCTGTTTGGACTGTGCGTTATGAGAAGAAATACTACCTCAGAAAAAAACAGTTTCTCTAAAAGTTTTATTTTAAAAAGTCTCACCTGGAGGTTTTTCACAAAAGGAAACACAACCCTGGGTGCAGAGAGCTCTGGCAATAGGGCAGAGCTCAGGTACCTGTGGCTGTCAGGCTTTGGGGAGGTGACCGTAAAATATACGAGGTCAAACCAAACACCTGAAGTGGGTAAGCTGAACAACATTCACATTTTAATATCTGCAACAATTCACTTTAAAGCACATTTCTTACCTTTTTTCCAGTTAGCAAGTCCTCTCCGAGCAAGTCATCATCAAGTTCACTGGAAAACAGTAAAAAATTTAAGAAGCTGAACCTTAGAAAACAGAAACAAACACCTTGTAGGGTACATGCCTTAAAAAACTGACTTGAGGAGAATTGCTACAAAGCCTGCACAAACCCTTTCTTTTAGCAAAGCATTCAAGAAAAACAGATACCTATTTTCAGTGAAACAACAGACCATACATATTACCTCTGCTGTTGCACAGTCATTTCATTTCCACATGCTCTCCTTTCCATATCTCTACAACCAGAGCACAATAACCTAGCCAAAATGCAGGCACAGCCAGATAAAACCCAGACAGCCAGGTCCCCATTCTAGATCCTACATTTCAGGGCCATTTTGTCCAAACTGCTGATTTCCAGCTCCCCAGGGAGGAAGCAAGTGAGAGTGGGCAAAACTCAGTCTACAGGTCACCATGTGGCCCAAGACAGACCTGAGCAAGAAGGCTGGGAGGCCAGCTGGCTTGGGAGCCTGCATCTTCCCTAAAGGTCAGGCTTAGGTCTAGCTTTTCCCTAAATACTTTACTGCCTCCTTCTCAAGCTGAGGGTAAGGTCAAACAAACACCTACAGGGTGACAAAATCGAATGCATGTTTCACCACTTTTATAATCATGCCCAAGAATTCAGGAAGCACAGAAATACCTGGCTTACAAAACTTCTGCCATCACGTAGCAACTATCCCATAAATAAGATTCAACACAAAGAACTACACTCCAGATTAGTTGAACTTTAGAAAAGCTGATTAATCTCATTCTTCTTCCTTCAGTGAAAGAATTATCTAGTGGCAGGAATAAACAGATTCCCCTGTTCTACAATAAGCAGTTGTTACTGACAAATGTATGTAGTAGAATATGCATGTTAATACTTAAATGAGATGCCAGTGCATTGAAATATGAGCTGCTATTTGACACTATTTCTACCTGTATACCTTAAAAAACAGAAACAAAAACCCCAAACCAACAAAACCACCATGCCTTAGATACTACATAAGAACAAAATTCTCCAAAGTGAGAATGTGCTATAGGAAAAGAACAGGAATTTCTATAAGAATTCCTTAGGACTATATGGTAAATACTTGAAAATGGGGAGGCACTTCCAAGACATAAATAACTGCTAAGAGTTGCTTTTGCAGATGGATATGTCTCTCTCAGAGCTGATTATTGTACAGATAACATGGGGGTGGGAAGGGGGAATAAAAATCTTGTGGGCTAGGAAAGAACAGATGATACACCAAATCAGCCCTAAATAGGACATTATTATCAGTACACAGAATTTATCCGTGGTTACTGATCTCAAATATTTCCAGGAATGACTGAACATTAACAAATAGCAATTGTTTTGTGCTCACTTGTAATATTAAACAAAAATTGGGACATAAGACATATGACACGTTCCAAAGAGCAAACTGACTAGAATTTAACACCTTTATTTCAGAGACAGGAAACTCTACCTAACAGAAATGGTTGCAGAAGCATTTCCTACTTCAATTTCGTCTCTAAAAAAATCGCTAATCTCTTCAACTGCCAGTAACCTGACAAATGCACCAAAGGGTTTGAAAATATTTCCCAGCACTATGGTCCACCACTGACAGCTTTTAATAAAACTGCACTAGAGAAATTCCAGAGGATGGCAAGAGTGTTACAGCAGCACTCGGAGACAAAAAACAAGTCAGACATTCAGATGAAGAAAAGGAACGGAAAAGAAAGTAAAAGATGAAATTAGTTTTCTAAACATAGTTAGGGATTTTAAACATGTTACTGAAAAACATCCTCGACGTGATTTTTTAGAAAAAGATTAACATTTGATGAATAGAAATAACTGCAAACATATTGTAGATTTTTGAAGCTTTGCCTTATTGCTTGGCAGTCAAAAACAATGGCACCAGCATATAAATGAACATTGTATCGGAAAAAAAAGTCTTTACAGGATGCCATTCAAAACCTCTAAAAATATTCAATGTTACTCAGTAGTTTCGTTAATGAATTAAGAGAAGAAACATGACCATAATTTTTTGAATAAACAAAGTAAGAGTGAAAAGCCTGCATGGTAAAGCTGTACTATCTCAAGGTTTCTAAAACAGCCATGTCTGAAGTTCTCTCTCAGAAAGAGGATCAGAAGTATTAAATCCAACCATTAAAAAAACCCAAAACAAACTAAGAAACACAAAGCAGGCAAAACAAAGATACTAAAACATCTCAGACTAGCTGACAAAAACAGACAAATGTGAATGGTTGCAATTTGCTGCCACACTAAGCCACATAAAATAATCTGACCTGGAATAAAAGTACACATCTGTGATAGTTTCACAGTCACTTCATCAGGACACAAAAGTTTCCAAACCACAGTACTAAGAAATTTTGGGTTAAGGTGATATGAGTCCACTGGTTTCACAAGAAACAGACCCATTTCCTTACATTGCCTCAACTTCCAATACCTAATGTTCCCTTCACTGAATAAATTCAGCTCACCAAATAAGGACAATAATAATAAAAAAGACAGACAACAACCAGTGGAAAGTTTTCTGCCAGCATAGAGAAATGAGCAATCTCAGAAGGGTCAGAAGAAGCAAAAGTCAACTACTAAATCATTCCTGTCATCTCGAAGGAAAGCACCAGAAATGCAGGGTTTTTTCCAAACCCAAGCTTTGGGTTACCTAAAGAAATACATATATAAATGAACACCCTGTGATAAAGACATCAGAGTGGCCCTCTCTGGCCTCCAATTTCATGAACATGCCTCATTAAACATGAGCAGCAGCAAGGATATAAATGTTTCTGGAAAAGAACTTGTGAAAAAAATGTAATGGGAAAAATTCTCCAAGAGCAATGTTACATTTGCATCCCAAATTACTGGGGCCTTCAACTATCAGTTATCACCTCCAGTGTTTGAGAAAGGACAGATATCTGAAAATTCAAAATTATTTAAATAACTGGGGGATGTGACTCAGTCAAGTAACAACACAGTAAGAGCTGATGGTTGATCAGGATGTGTGACTAACAGCAGAACTCCATCTCCCCCCAAAACAATACTTAGGTTGCAAAACAAAGCATGAAGGATTAAAACACCCTAAGACTACTGTGTTCATTCAGCCTTTTTTTCCATCTTCAATAAACTGTCCTATACTGAATTAGGCCAGTAGGTTAAAACTTTAAGCAATTACATTAGGCAACAACATATCCACGTACAGCATTTGTAATTGCCAAGACACTCACAGAACTTAACACTTCCAAATACAGTTTGGCAATCTGAAAAGAATAATAATATTTAAAAAACAATATTCCAACACATGCAAATAATATTCTACTAGATACAGTTGTTGTAACAAATGTGGATAGAGCCTTCCCAAATTTTCCTTTGCGAAGCCTAGCCATGAAGATACAGTTGTAACAAAAAAAAGTTCTGAAATTATGAAGCTCTGGAATCTTCTGCTCTGCACCTGGAACTACTTCTCTTACAATTTCAGTAAGCTGAAGAACTGCATTTTTCATATTTATCTTAAGTTATATGCAGGTAATAATAAATAAATAAAGTAAAACTTTTTCCTAAAACTGAATCCTTGTGTGCTTCAGAGTCTCAGCTTAGGGAAAATACCCTAAAACCTCTGTCAAGTCCTATTAAAAACAGCTTTGCTGCAGGAAGTTTACCACTGGGAATAACTTCTGATGCAATGGTTGCTTGACTCATCCAAATTTTCTGCAGTGATGAGTAGGACAGCTAAACCCAAATGTGACCAGTCAGCATCTAAAGAGCCCACCTATTCACACCACAAAGTCAGCAAAGGCAAAAAGTTCAAAAAACATTCTAATACCAAACATTTTGCTTTCAATACTTATTTTAGGGTTTCTGAATACCCAGACCTGGGACTGGGAGGCAGCACAGTACAGTGACCCAGCCTGAACAAGTTATTTTAATTCCATTCTCAAACCAGAGCAGCTCAATGGTGCAGTTCACCATCCAACCCCCTAACAGCTGTACTGGCTTGACAGAGAGCAGAGACTCCCCACCAGCAAACAGCAGAACACTCTGTAAACTGGAGCTACTGTCCAAATTCCTTCGTCACACACTTGCCTCCTGGAGCAATGAAAACTATCCACTTAACCTAGCAGAAAAGCATGGAAGAGGAAACTAATCCCTCTGGAATGACAATAATTGTAGAGCAGTTGATTCACTCCAAGGGTTCAGCTGAGTGGAAAACTACTTAGAGTAAAACTTGTTTACTACAATCATTTGAGTGATTATTACAGCAGATAACAATCTATTCGGAATGGGTTGTTCTTTTTTGCCTTTTACACTGAAAACCACTGGCAAAGTCTGAACAAATTTATTACTAAAAAGGAAACATAGAAAAATAACACAAATAAGTGAAAAGTTCCCCCAGAAAGAATAGACCAGTCTAGCCAGCAGCTTGATTCCTTTCCCAGCCAGATTCCTTTCACATAAAAAACCACACTTATTCTCCCGCCAAAAAAGAGCAAGTGCACACACACTTCTAAATCTTTACAAGCCACACTGTTTAAGAAGCCTGTACCTAAGCTCTAATACTCTTCCCCAATGTAAAACTGAAAGTAGGACTCTGAGGTTAAGAATTTAAACATCTAATTAAAAGAAATTTAAAAATTAAGTTGAGCAAATTCAAGTACTAGCAAATTCTAACATTTAAAAGGAAAACCAAGACATTAATTGCAAAATTGCACACCACAAATACTTTGTATTTATCCAATTTTAAATGGTATCTATTCACAGTGCTCTGCATTCCTCAAGGCAAGTACATGTTTGGCATGATCCAGCACTGGCTGACACATGCAAAACAACCAACATCTTCATTAGTGCATCTGAATGTGCATCGCTCTAAATGTTAGAACACAAAATGCCAGAATGGGAAAAGAGCAATGCAATTCAGCACACAGAAACTGAACATGAAAATATCCTACCTACCTGTCCCAGTCATCATCTCCCGCTCTTCTTCTCCAAGACCTTTCTGCACCAGGCTTATCAAACTGATCAAAGTCATCATCTGTAAAGAAGGTGATCACGTTAAATAATTCTTACTGAAATTAGAGGTTTCCAAAGCAACCACACAGATGGGATTTTATGGGTGGGTGTGTGGGGGGGTGTGTTGTTCAGAAGATGCAAAAATACCTTTTTCTACCTTCCAAGTTAACATGAAGTAAAAGCAGACAAATACCCAACACAGAATCACAGAATCATTAAGGTTGCAAAAGATCTTTCAGATCACCAAGTCCAACTGTCAACCCAGCACCACCACCACGTTCACCATTAAATCACATCCTCAAGTGTCACATCTACACGTTAGCTGAACCCTTCCAGGGATGGTGAATCCACCACTTCCCTGGGCAGCCTGTTCCAATGCTTTACAACCCTTTGTGAATTTTTTTTTCCTAATACCTAATCCAAACATTCCCTGGCACAACTTGAGGCCATTTCCTTGTCCTGTCCCTTGTTACCTGGGAGAAAGGACTGACCAACTGGCTACAGCCTCCTCTCAGGGAGTTGTAGAGAGCAAGAGGGTCTCCCCTGAGCCTCCTTTTCTCCAGACCAAACACCCCCTGTTCACTGAGATGCTCCTCACAGGATTTGTGCTCCAGACCATTCACCAGCTCCACTGCCCTTCTCTGGATTTGTTCCAGCACTTCAGTGTCTTTCTTCCCATGAGGGGCCCAAAACTGAACACAGGACTTGAGATGTGGCCTCACCAGTGCCAAGTACAGGGGGATGATGATGGCCCTCATCCTGCTGGCTAGGGTTAGGGTTATCTAACCACAAGCCAGGATGCCACTGGCCTTCTTGGCCACCTGGGCACACTCCTGGCTCGTGTTCAGCCACTGTCAACCAACACCCCCATGTTTCAAGAATAAAAAAACCAATATACTACACAGTTTTCCCTCTTCTCACTGTTGAGGTGAAGATTACCCAAGGAAAAGATAAGAATATGAGACAAACCACTGGAAAATTTTGCCAATGAAGGTCATTCCATAGACAGGAGCTTCCCAGAAATGCACAAAACTGAGATGCAATGGAGGTGAAGGAAACAGTGTCTATGAAATCTCCGTTTGCCTTGTGGGCCACAAGTTCATCCCCTACACTGAACCTGCAAAGGGAGTAAACCTCAGGTCAGCACAAGGGAGGTCAGTACCAGCAGCCCAATACAGAAGAGGGCAGTCAGGTGTAACACACCATGAATTATCTCAACTAGGGCAGTAAAACCACTACAAGTCACTGAAGCAGGTTACACTGTGTACCTAAGCAGGCACCTGCCTTCCCAGAAACAACTGGTGCTCCATATTCTCTCAAAAAGTACCCTCAATTTAGCCTACCAAATCATCTTCCATAGTTTAGTTCACAAATTAATATTTTACTACTTAAAAATATTAAAGCTTCCATTTATCTGCAGAGGAAATGCAAAGGTCATCTGCTCTGTACAGACATCATGTCTTGTCACCTTTGAACCGAAAGCACATACCCTCAGAAATACTGAACCCTCACTCTCCCACCCTCTGGCTACAGCCTGACAGGGAATGCACACCTGGATTCACTCTCTTTTCACACACTTTAATGACTTTGGTAAGACTCAAACAAACTGGCACATAGAAGTTATGCTCAACACAGGGGGAAAGCTGCTGCAGTTTAATGGTCTGCAAAACCCAGAGGTTGAACAATCCCATCCCTGCAGTCTGACAGTCTGAACTGGTGATCACTAAGATGCCATTCATCCTTCTGACTCTGCATTCAGCTCTGACCAAGTACAATGCCAAGGAACAACTGTTTCCTTCGACTGGCTTTTCTGTGTTTGTTTGGATTCTTAAATAAACCTTCAAAACCAAATCTATCTTCAGCTCTTTAAACTCAACCCAGTACCCTTTAGTGAATATTCCCCACATGCAATGATAAACCTATTCACTTTTCACTTCATATTATCAAAATATGGGTGTTAATCACTGATAGAAGTTTGAAAGGAGGTAGAACATTAAAAAGAGAAAATTCAGATCTTGCAACATCACTAAATGAAGAACTTTCAAACCAGAAATATCAATCAAAAATAGCTGTGAAAGTAAGACTGCTCAGTACAAATCATTATGTATAATGAGTCAAGTGTGGCAACTCTTCTGTTTTGAAACCAACTAAGGGAAGAAATAATTCCCCTTGATCAAGTTCTCCCCTTTACTATTGACAGGTAAGTTTAGATTTTAACTCATTTTCTATATTTAAACTAATTTACCTGGGCTAACACAATTGAATCAATTGTTTTACATTTCTCTGCTTAAACACCTACGTATTACAACCTCTTTCTATTCCAATTCCTATTTCACCCACAGGGGAAAGCCAGACAAATATACAAGCATTTCCCATCTTCCTCTTGAATGCTAAATTATCCAGTGTTATGGTCTCTGGGGAAAAAAAAAAAAAAAAAAAAGGTGTGGGGGGGAAAGGCCACCTTGCTCTCCTTATGGTCATTCAAAACCATGCTGCAGTGACTGTTTTAGTGTATTGACATTTTAAGGGCACAAATATCCTGTCCTGTCACTGTTCTTACAGCTGGATTGCTGTAATCCACTGACTTGATGTAATCACTGCCAATGATTACTTTTTGAGGTAATGCACCTGATTTGGCAGCACCCCAAATTACAAGTGTCCACATATTGATTAACACAGCTCAAGACAATGACAAATCAGGAAGACTAACTTTCTTTTAAGCTATGCCTGCTTACTTGCAAGACATATTTTTTCATGCCAGGCACCATGTTAGAACTAGGGAGCTGTGCTATAAACCAATCTCAGCTCTTGGTACACAATTCTTTCAAACAGAGCTTCACATCAGCCAGGTTTAAATCTAGACAACATGAAGTTACACACCACACCCTTCTTCTTTTAAAATCTCTCTACAGCAAAAAGAAACACTTTTCAGTACAATTCATAGCAGTTTTGCAGGGCAGATATCTAATTCACAGCCATAGAAGTCTTTCAACCTGTTATTACTGCTAGTGAATAAAGAATGTCAAAAGAGGGTCCAAGTTCCTGGCAAATTTCTAATGTGGACCTGAACCCCCACCACTCAAGGCAACATCATGAACCTCCTGCTCTTCCAATCACTCCTGATTTCTCACATCCTATCCCTTATTTATGAGCAGCTTCTACCAAAATTCAAAGCTGAATTACATCCAGCAAAGCCCTTTTCACAAGCCCCCTCCAGCAGGATGCATAAAAAACCCTCAAGAACGACTGGTCAATCTGTGTGTGGTGACTGCAGCTTGCAAGAACTGCTCCACATGTGTCCTCACTGCCTCCCTGTTCTCCTCTCCCTCTCTCAACACAGGTGATATAATGATCTTCGGGACAGAAGGAGACAGCTTTTCTTTTTTATGCTCATTTTGTCAATGTCAGCTCTCACAGAACATGAGTGTTACAAATTATGCCATTTCAACATTAAGGAGCACAAAGCAGGCTGTAGCTTTCCTTTAGAAAAGGAGGTGACAACAGTCACACATCTGCAAATAGCATTCCTTGCCAGCTTCACCACTGAGACAATAAGCACTGCACTGGACACAGGCCTTGCAGCTGCAGTGCAATGTGATACCTAACAGACATCCTGAGGCATCATTTTTTTTCTCCATTTCTGAAACCACACAGACTTTCATTTTTCTTCTACCTGTCTAGGCAATAACATTGGAAAACACCAGTAAACAACAATCAGCATAACATCTATAGATGTTTCTCCTTGAGAAACTTGTAAGTGAATGTTTGTGCCAAGGGTGGTTAAATGCCTGCAAAACATTAACTTGTACAGAAATAAGAACACTCAGCATCAGCAGGGCACAAAACCACTGAGAGCAACAGCCAAAGATTTTTTTTTTATTAAAATTCTCAGTACTACTGAGTGGGAGATGAGAAGAAAAAAAAGTGAAGGTGTGAATCCATGAACATAAGCTTTTAAAGCACAGAAATGTCTATTGTAGGAGTTGGAGGAGGTTCTCTATTTCTTCCAGTGGTCTCAGTGCACCATACACAGCAACTGTTGCTAAGACACGCGAGGCACTGGCTACAGCTCCTCCCTCCAATTCTGGCTCTCCTGGCAAAGCTCACCAACATGATGTTTGTGCATCGGCTGGGTACCACCTGAAGATCCTGAGAGGTGATCACTAAACACATTAAACCCCTCTCTAAGGCAGAACTAGAAAGTTAAAACAAACAAACAAACCCAAATCAACAAAAAAACCAACCAAACACAACCTATCAAATACCAGAAAAGCATTAACTGAATAAGCAAGGAGAACAGGCCAGTTATAGAGGAAAAAAATCCCAAATAATTCACCACTTGGCTCTTCCAACTGCAGTTCTAAGAAAACCACCATGATCAAAGTGGCACAGAAGTTTCAGGATGCTGCAGAGATGGACTAAAGCTGTTTTGTTAGACCAGCCTGCCTTGCAAGGCTCTGACCAGCTGTGAACCAGAATAAGCACAAAGACAGCCAAACACACTTGGGCCCCAAATTAAAGGTTCCTATTTTCTTTATACTTACCCTGGGGTAACACCAGCAATGCTGCAAGTTGTTCTACACAGCTTATGTTCTGGTTTTATGATATATGCTTAGAACTTGTATCTTTTTTTCCTATTCAATAAGAACAGATCATCCACTCTAGAAATCCACAAAATACAAGCCTCATTTCCTCTTTGGCTATGCTGATGGCAGTTTCTAACTCTGTGGACAACCTTCCAATAAAACCTTCACTAATTCTTCTTTGTAAAATGGAAGTCTTAAGCTACACAGTCAGTCTCACAAGCGTAGGAGGTGAATCAGCAGGAACACTGCAGAGCTCTTAACATCATAAAATGTTACTAACATAGCCTAAAAAGGTAGTCCCACATAGCAACTGTTGCTAAGATTGGAGTATTTTACTGCAATGAGATGACCCAGACTTCTAGACGAGGGAAAACATTTGATGACTGCATTGTTGGTCTTCCCTGAAATCCACCTGAAAGCTTCCCAGAACACCAAC